AAGTCGACAAGCTTTTTGTAAACGAAAAAACCAATCCCGCCCTATAGGTCAGATCCCTATTTATATAGAAGTGAACCTTTACATGAAATTTTTGTAACCCTTCACCCATTGATAGTATATGCCAGAATTTGTTCAAATTGGTTCAGTGGTTCAAGAGAAGATGCTGAAAATGATTAAAAGTTTACAACTGATGAATGACAAACTACGCATGACGACGGACAAAAAACCTGAGTGACTCAGGTGACCTAAACACATAATGTTCATATATAGCCATACTTTACAGTCATTATGTTTGATATTGGCATCTTAGGCCAAAAAAATTGATCTTTAGTTTCTCAGGGACTGCTGCATCAGTTCAAACACTGCTGCATTGATCAATTTTATTCATGGTTTGAAAAGGGGAATAAAACGATTTTCTATTTTTTTAAGTTTAAAAAGAAAATTGAGTTATGCCTCTTTCTATATACATGTACGTTTTTATTAGATACATAAATGATTTAACTTTTAATAAAAATGTTTGGAATTACATTATTTATAGTTAGGTATATATTGTAATTAATATAAGAATATATACAAAACTAGATACTCGTTGCGAGCAACGAGAGGTCTTCCGTCCGAATAACCATCCTTAACTGTAATATTCTTTGCACGTAAAATTACATTTATATCTGCTCGTTGTAAAGACACCTAAAAATTTAACATGGGTCTTTAAAAAGATTTTTTATTCATAAAAAAAAAATAATAAAAAGAGCACAGAATTCACAAAGAGAAAAACAAAGTTCAACATCATTGATAAAGATGAAAACGTAAATTTAAGCAAAAAATTCAGATATAGTCGGGATTAAACCAAGATCGGCTGCCTGAAAAGAGCTAGGTTCACTTCATGCATAAAATAGCCCTGTAGATATACTAACACTTTATGTTCCATTTTAAGGTCAAGATCTAGTAAATGAAAGGTGCCTACAGATTTCTTAAACTTGAGAAATAAATTCCTTTAATAATGCTTTATTACTTTAGCTTGGTCAAATAAGGTGTTTCAGGGCATAATTTGTAGGTAAACAAGACTAAAAATTGTATTTTAAACTGTTATTTTCAATGGGATGTTGAGAAAATCAGTTATGAATATCGGAGTTTTTTCCATATCAGACAAAGGAAATGTATCCAGATTGCCTACAGTCTGTCAGAAAACAGTAATGTATATATACATTATTATAACAGTAACTTGATCCGAAGAGTCGTATCACGTCGAGTTGACAGGCGCGGATCATCAGATCAAACGATCTGATGATCCGCGCCTGTCAACGAAACGTGATATGGCTCTTCGGATCAAGTTACTGTTATAATGATAAATTTATTATATACCCCCCTTACAACTAGCAAAATATAGTTTTAAAATACCTTTTGAGATTTATTATATCAGATTTTTCCATTAAACAAAGCATTTTGTCAAGGAACTTTTTGATGCGCATAAAAAATAACGTCATGTTTCTGTGTACAACGTCATCAATTTCAAAGAGGGGTGATATGGATTCAGAAAACCACAGTGTGGTGATCCGGAAAGTCGGATCACACTGTCATGTGATTGTACAAAATCTACAGTAAAATTGAGTGATACACACTTGGGTATATTATAAATGTTCTTACCCTCTTCTTTAAAATAATGTTAAATTAAATATAGGTATTGGGATTACTTTTTACATGATTTCAAATTGAATTCCATGAAAATACTTTATTTTCTACACAATTCTATTAGAGGCGTAAAGTACGGGGAAAAGAGAGTTTAAAATGATTATGACGTCATAATGGACATAGCACAAAAAAGACAGTCTAAAGTCATTTACTAGGTCTTGACCTTAAACAACAAGATAAAGTAGAGACTTAGTGTTTTCATTTCTTATTAAAAATTTTCTCCTTATAGCCAAGGTCTTGGAAAACAGGGCTCCTGAAATTGCAATGTTCTTGAATTTTAATGAAAATAAGTATATTTGAGTACTTTCACAGAAGATAAATAATATGAACACACCCTTTGATCTAAAAAATAAAACAGGTTTTGTAATCCTCAGAAATAGTTCTATCATTTCATAGTTGCATATTTAAGATCAGAGGTTACGCTCTATATTAAATATCGAAAAATCGCTTTAAAATTGACTGTTTTGTAGAATTTTTCACGATATGAGGAAAATTACGCATAACATGACGTCATAATGCATTGGCTAGCCAGAAAATTACGTCATTTTTGATAGATACGCAGTCATCAAAGTTCTAAATGATATTCAATGCATTAACTAAAACCAAGCAGTTTCAGTTTTTCTGAAATTCACAGGGCCAAAAAAGGCCCTAAGTGAACCTTGTTCTTTAATATTGAAACCACTACACTAGCGAAATGTACCAGCCATCACTGATGTTTACCTTGCACTCATTCCCTGAAGTAACGAGTGTCAGGCAGGTTAATCTTTTTTTGTTATAGTGTGGAATTATAGGATGAAAACTAGCCAGTTAAATTTTGTGCAAGTACTAGTAGATTTACATCGGATTTGTTACTTGAGTTTTAACAATAACTGATAGCAGAGAAAATAATCTTTTACTGATAAAAACTAAAAAAAAACTATTGTGTTTACTTCCTTTATTCTTTATGCATTCAACTTTCTATTCTATGCAATTCCAAATTCAGACATGTCCGTGTAATCTTTTTCTGTACTTCTACACTACTGCATCAGACCATTTGTGAAAGGCGGGTCAAGATAATTATTTCGCGCCAAATGTCACGAGTAAATCTTCGCGCCTTTTCTTTGGAATGTGTCTTCAATTGAATAAGTGTATGTGATAGCTCCAATGAAATTTTTAAAAAGATATGTTGCTATAGCCTGATTTTCTAGCCTAAGAATGTATATTTATCACACTGTACATATAACATACCGTATACGGACAAGTTACATAAATGCAGCGCTATGTTTTCTTACACATTTTATATTCCTCTTTATCCCCAAAGTGGATTATTCCAATTAGTAACACATTAATGAAAAGACTGGAATGTTTCGCAACAAATTATGTCTCGCCATATGACGCTCAAGGAATCTGATACCTATTATGTTCAGTAACTTGCATCTATAAAGGAATATTGCCCTACTAAAATCAAAGAAAAATATCATTGAAGTTTATTTTTCTCTCATTTGAAATTGCTATATGTTATCCGATCAAGATGAGAAAGTAACAAATTCTACTTTCAAAATACAATTCGGCAACTCTCCAATTTATGATACAATTGCATAGGTATCTAGCTACATATACATTTGTACCAACATGTTTTCCTCATTTTGTGATATCACAAGTGCATCTATGCACTTTAATTAGTGCAAAATTCAACTGCAAACTCTTTATGAGGGAGTAAAAAGACACGCTGATATTGTGCCGTCAAACACCGCTGCTCTGACGTCGAACGACATAGCGCCCCCCCCCCCCCCTTTAAAGATAAAAAAGTGAGAAAAAAGTCGGACATTCTTTGGATTGAATCCGGATCGCCCACATGAAAATTCAACATGCTAACTATTACGCTATCAAACATCATCGCTTAAAATTTAAAAATGATAAATATTTAGAGTATGGATTAATCAATTTTCAAACAAACTACATATTTAGCATTCTTGTATGACTCTTTATTTAGCCTATCAACATCATAAAAAAATAATGAAAAACAAAAAAGTTAAAAAAAATTACCCTTTTTAAATCACTTCCTGTGACGACCAGAAGTGACGACGACACACGAAATGTTTCCATCACACATCTACAAACCAAATTCTATCATACCTGAAAGTTTCAGACTCCTACCTTTAATAGTTTCTGAGAACATTCATGGACTAGATTTTTAGTGGAAAAATTGAAAAATCGCAATAATTCCCGACCGGAAATAACTTTTTCCAAACTTTTTCAATATTTCAAAATGGCATGAGATAACACATCATTCCTGAAAATTTGGCTGAAAATGAATGAGTAGTTTTTGAGATATCGCGATTTGAAAAGGTCAAAAAAATAAAAATAATAATAATAATAAGAAACAGTAGAATCACTATAGGTCTTCCGTTGAAAACGGAAGACCTAATTAAGAATCAGTTGATTTTATCATTTTATTGAGTGACAAGAAAAAAGAGACAATATCTTATTCAATAAACAAAAACAAAACAAAACAAAAATGCCTGCAGCACTGAATTTGGAAAAACTGAAGTTTTTTTTTTTTTTTTGGGGGGGGGGGGGCCTTACAGTCATATTAATGAATACAATGGCAAAGACATTTTAAGTACCATCATCATGTTAAATATGGACATCTTACTATCATTATGTAAAATAATGACATCTTTACATCATTATGTTAAATAATTGCATCCTTCTGTCATTATAAAACATAATGACATTTATACCATCATTATGTACAATTATGACATCTTGCCATCATAATGTAAAATAATGACATCTTACCATCATCATGTGAAATGATGACATCTTACCATCATTATGTGAAATGATGACATCTTACCATCATTATGTAAAATAATGACATCTTGCCATAATTATGTGAAATGATGACATCTTACTATCATTATGTACAATAATAGCATCATACTATCATGTCAAATAATGACATCCTATCAACCATTATGTAAAATAATGACATCTTACCATTTTACATAAAATATTGACATTCTGTCACCATTATGTAAAAGAATGACACCTTACCATCATTATGTAAAATAATGACATCTTTACTACTATCATTATGTTAAAAAGTGACATTCATTATGTGAAGTAATGACATTTGTCCATTATTAAGAGTAAATTTCTATATCATCATGTTTAATTGTGAAACACCTCCTTCAATACGCTAAACAATTACTATCAGTATGTTAAAAAATGACATATCTCAAAATTACTTGTATATTCCAATATCAAAACATCTTAATTTTAAGGCCAATATTGTTGTTGTTAAAATTAATATAATGACATCTTACCAGTATAATTCCAAATGATGATGGTGCTATCAGATGACCCTGACACAATAGTATCTGTGGTACAGGCCAGACAATACTGAAAAAGAGGGTACTGTGTTACAAACATTTATAAAGATACTATGTTACAAAATATTTATAAGGATACTATGTTATAATACATTTATAAAGATACTATGTTACAAAACATTTATGAACAGAAAATGGCTTTAAATTGAGCTCAACATTTTTATTGTTGTAACTAGCTCTAAGATATACAAAAAAAAAAAAGAATTTTTGCATAACTACAGAAAATGGCCCTCTGTTTTTCATTTAAAATTATGAGGCATCCGAAAGTAATATAAAATGTTATTGTTAGATGTGACTTCCTGTGTATTACAATGTGTATACAGATTATATGATGAAATATCTTGGATACTGACTTCCTGTGTATTACAATGTGTATATGGACTATATGATGTAATACCTTGGATACTGACTTCCTGTGTATTACAATGTGTATATGAACTATATGATGTAATACCTTGGATACTGACTTCCTGTGTATTACAATGTGTATACAGATTATATGATGAAATATCTTGGATACTGACTTCCTGTGTATTACAATGTGTATATGGACTATATGATGTAATACCTTGGATACTGACTTCCTGTGTATTACAATGTGTATATGGACTATATGATGTAATACCTTGGATACTGACTTCCTGTGTATAACAATGTGTATATGGACTATATGATGTAATACCTTGGATACTGACTTCCTGTGTATTACAATGTGTATATGAACTATATGATGTAATACCTTGGATACTGACTTCCTGTGTATTACAATGTGTATATGGACTATATGATGTAATACCTTGGATACTGACTTCCTGTGTATTATATTGTGTATAAAGATTATATGATGTAATATCTTGGATACTGACTTCCTGTGTATTACAATGTGTATATGGACTATATGATGTAATACCTTGGATAATGACTTCCTGTGTATTACAATGTGTATATGGACTATATGATGTAATACCTTGGATACTGACTTCCTGTGTATTACATTGTGTATACGGATTATATGATGTAATACCTTGGATAATGACTTCCTGTGTATTACAATGTGTATATGGACTATATGATGTAATACCTTGGATACTGACTTCCTGTGTATTACATTGTGTATACGGATTATATGATGTAATACCTTGGATAATGACTTCCTGTGTATTACAATGTGTATATGGACTATATGATGTAATACCTTGGATACTGACTTCCTGTGTATTACATTTTGTATACGGAATATAGGATGTAATATTTGAGATACTGACTTCCTCTGTATTACAATGTGTATATGGATTATATGATGTAATATCTTGGATAATGACTGCTTATGTATTACAATGTGTATAAAGATTATATGATGTAACATCTTGGACTTGAGACCCTCTCTGGAAAAAGTCTCTGAATGGTTGATTGCTAAACCTCAGGTCACCTTACTGTCAAAATTCAGGTCTTTGATGGCTTTGTTTCTTTTTTACAAAACTAAAACAGCATACTTAGATTACCTTATTAGAATTTCAAATAAATTAATTTTTATGAGCAAAAATTGCAGGAGGTAAAGTAATTTCCATCCTAGAGTGGTGATGAAATATTACTTTTAATAAACTTTAAAATCCCTGCAAATTCAATGAATATTTATGCGAGTGATTAGTGTTTTACACAATTAATAATAGCACAAAAAATGTTAAATGTTTTGGAATGAAAAGGGAGTACAGGAAAAGAAAAATTTTCCATTTTTATATCTTATCTTGGGTGACCTTGGGCACAGTAACTAATGCACAATGTAGTTTTGAACTTTATTTTCTTATTCCCGTTATAATTCTAAAAAAATCCATTAATTTAAGGACCTTTGTGCAATTTTATGATTGTACACCTCTGAAACAGATTTTGAGGAAATAGCAGCTGAAAGTATCTTTTCTTTTAATTTTCTCCAAAAAAAAAAAAACAAAAAACTAGAACTGTCCAAAAGGGACAAATACCCCCACTGGGTTTTTCAGAGAAGGTACCAAATCACTAATGTTTTCTAGATGTGAGAGGTGTTCACAATTTGCTAAAACATTTAGAGTGAAAATTTAATTACTCATTATATTTTTTTTAATGAATGAAACTAAGGTGCAGCCTAATAAAACATCAATACTAGTAATTACAGTGTTTTTTATTACATTGAAAATATAGTTTGCAACTATCTGTCATCTTTGTGAGACATGACACTCTGCAAATTGATTGTTGAAAAAAAATATCATAATTAATTATACAAAATCAAATTGATCTTAATACCTTTATATCAAACTCATTTTAGAAATAAAAGGCTGGTTCCAGTAACTATGTATTTTGACAGACATAAATTACAATTAAGAGACTTAGACAACAGAGATCTTTATTTCTTTCTGCCCAATTCCCAGGAGATATAGATAAGACCTGCTTGATCAGAGATGCCCTAACAGCTTCCCACACTGAACTCAATAATTAATCTTTAACTGGATGCATGTCCACTCATTACTCCCAAGGGACAAATGGATTTACACTATCTGCTGTGTAATGTAAAAACTGTTTTTAATACTTTGTGATTTTTTTTTAGTTCTAATGAGTAGTTTTAAGCTGTAGTTCACAATTTTTGTACAGATGTTCTAGATTCTATGTCTCAAACCTTAGACATGAACACGAAATGACTAAGTCAATAAAAATGAAAAAAAAAACCACTTGTAAAATGCAGAAAAACTATCAAATAATGTTGAAAATACCAGGTGCACATCTTCATATGGTAAATAATAAGTGTACAAATTTTCATACAAATCTATGCAATAGTCTCTGGGAACAGATCCAGACAAAACAACATAACAAAAATGAAAAAAAAACACCTGTAAAATGCAAAAAAATTATCCAATCATGATGAAAATACCAGGTGCACACCTTCATATGGCAAAGAATAAGTATACAAATTTTCAGACAAATCCTTGCAACAGTTTCCAAGAAATGGTCCGGACAAAATCTCGTCTACAGACAGACAGACGGACAAGCTGATTCCAATATACCCCCCCTAAACTTCGTTTGCGGGGGGGGGGGGGGGGGGGGATAAAAAAGACAAGGGATTTTCATTACTTGATATCTGTTCCAAACTCCTGATAATGTATGCTGATTCTTAAAACATCTGATGGTACTATCACTTCAAATTAAGAATTTCTTGGAAAATTATCAGTGGGAAAAGTAAATTTTAAAGTACTTTTAGAAATGTATGTTGCGTATGACCATAAATTATTCTAGATTTGTGAAATCTATTCCCTCTATACTACAAACTTCTTTCCTTACCACCTCTGCCTGGTGGGCAGATAGAACATGAAGACACTCTCCGGAGGGAATCCGCCAAATCCTAACATCCGAGTCTCCACTACCACTAACTACTGTGTCTTCAGTGCAGTAACAACAGGTCACAACTACAGAACAGAAGAAAACATCCAGTGAGGGGACTATTGAAAGCCTGTTTATTCTATATGAATTCTTAACATAAGAAAGTAATGATTGCCCAGCTTGATAAAGGAACCAATTCAAAGACTTAATCAAACTGAAGTGCACCTCTTTCCAAAAATTCTTCTTGAGTTCTGCTTTTTAAGCTGTTACATTAATCTGGATCCAATAATGTAATGTAACACTGTTGATAACACCTCTTGTAATTGTGTAATGGGTAATTTTGGTACGCTGCAAAAGTTGGCTTGTCATAAAAAATTGCCAAAAAATAAAGTGCCAACATTTCCATAAACTTCGTACAATGTCATCTATTTTGATTTCACTAACTTCTATTTTGTGTAATCAGTAGATTGCATATCTAAGTTGTTGGCATTTGATTAAATGAATGTACGAGCAACTCCCAAAATCTCAGAATTCAGGGACCTACTGAAAAATTCCTTTATCATTTTTTATTCATATTATTTCCTGAAATTACAAATACGTTTGTTTCCTAAAGCATGCCACACTCACTTTTAGTTACTTAATACAAATGTATGATAAAACAATAAATGTTATGGTCTTTCCTATTTGTCTAATTTGGTTATGGTCAATTTGCATTACTGAGACAAAAATTTCCCTTACCTCCTCTATGTCCATGTAACATCTGTACACCACCCTTACCTTCTCTATGTCTAACATCTGTACAGCATCCTTACCTTCTCTGTGTCTGTATAAAATCTGTACACCATCCTTACCTTCTCTTTAGCCATGCAACAACTAAACAGCATCCTTACCTTCTCTGTGTCTGTATAAAATCTGTACACAATCCTTACCTTCTCTTTAGCCATGCAACAACTAAACAGCATCCTTACCTTCTCTGTGTCTGTATAAAATCTGTACAAAATCCTTACCTTCTCTTTAGCCATGCAACAACTAAACAGCATCCTTACCTTCTCTATGTCCATGTAACATCTGTACAACATCCTTACCTTCTCAATACTGTGCAACATGTTCTACATTAATTCTTACCCTCTCTATGTCCATGTAACATCTGTACAGCATCTTTTTTCCTGATATCCCACACCAGTACAGCCTTGTCCCAAGATCCTGTTATCACAGTGTGTCCACAGTGGGCCATGCACTAAAAACACAGCAAAGTTCAAAAGGCCAGACACCTCTACCCAATCATTCATATTGCATTATAAAGTCAAGGTACACCTTCAATTCCTTGCTATGGGCTTTTAATGTTTGTTCTTTACAAAGATATTGGCCAAGAAAAGAATTATTCATTTTTTTCTGTTAGTACATGACCTTGAACTTGTCCACATGACCTTGTATCAATATAATGACAACCCCACTGGATCACTAGCAAACATTGTATAATGAACAGGGATCCAAAGTTTCTCTGTTAAAGTATTCCACCCCAAATAGTACCTAATTCTCTATCCTTAAATATCTATCACATATAAGATATGCTGATATTAATTTTAATCATTTTAGAGTAGAAAAGGACTGATATCTTCAGAAATATAATTACCTAAGCAGAAATTAATCAAACAAGATTGCACTGAGGTCTAAAGGGAGAAACAAATTTTTAAAAATAGAAATTTAAATACATGTACTAAGAATATCAATAAATGTTATGGTGGAAAGATGTCTTTAATCATTAGGAACAGAATACTGGGTTATGTTTGAAAACAATTTTTTTACGTGATAAATTTTATTACAATGGATCTCAATTGATTAAAATAAAGAGAGATAACTCTTCAAGGACAGTTCAAAGTCATAAATTAAAACAATTTTACTCTTACATACTGAGAGTAATAAATGGGAATTAAATCTTAAAGAAACTATATACATATTTTATCATGTACTCAGTTTCATTAAATCTGAGGCTATTACGGGTGGAATACCTTAAGGTTATGAAGTGGACAAGAATTCAATGATTTTTTTCTACCTAACCTTTACGACTTAAATTTACCAAAATGACAATGGATCGTAAGCAATTGTTGATTGATGTACAAGTATCCAACGTTTTTCTCTTACAAATTTATGAACCAGACACAAATTCTGTAATTTTTTCTGCAAAATGACACAGTACACCTTTAGGTGATTGGTAATCTTTTTGTTTCTCCATTACAAGGCATGGCCTACACAGGAATTATACATTTTATTAAGCCATTGATCTTGAATTTGTGTAATTGATACTGGATCAAAGTCATGACATAAGTAATCTCTGGGTGAAGTATAAACTACAAATGCTTCTACAAAGAAAGTTATGGATCAGACACAAAATTAGATACTCCTTGATTCTGCCCAAATGGCTTTGATTGAGGGTCATGACACACCCTTGGATCATATGCAATCTTTGTGTCAAGTATGAGCATCCACTTTTTCTCCATTAGGAATTAATGGTCTGGACATGATAGCAGCTCAACAGACAAAGTGATTCCTGTATACCCTCCTAAATTTGCTTTGTATCGAGTATAATAAATTCTTTTACCTAAATGAAAACACTAAGATTACCACAGAAAACAAACAAGATGTGTTTGTGAAACACTAATGCCCCTGTAGCTCACGGCTAAGGTTAAAGTTTCTCAAATGCAAGTCAAACTTAAAGTTCAAGGTCAAAAAGTTGAAAATGATGGTACCCAAAGAAAGGTCTTGTTATAAGGAATACATGTACACCTGTGAAATATGAGAGCACTTGCATCAACCATTCAGAAATTATGGTAAAGGATAGTTTTCAAAAGTAGGTGAAACTCCACGGTCGAAAGACCAAAATTGTTGATACCAATGAAAGTTTTTGTCACAAGAAAAACACATGTGAAACATAAAAGCTCTAGAAGTTATGGCCAAGGGTTAAGTAAATGTATTTCAAAAGTAGATGAAACCTCAAGGTTAAAAGGTCAAAATTGTTGGTACCCAAGGGAAGATCTTGTCACAAGGAATACACATATGAAATATGAAAGCCTAGCTTCAACCACTCAAAGTTAATGGGCAATGTTTAAGTTTTTTTTAAGTATATGAAACTGCAAGGTCAAGGTTAAAAGGTCAAAATTGTTGGTACTTAAAGAATACTTAAAGAAATTCCTTGTCACAAGGAAAACACATATGGCTAAGGTTAATTTTTTTCAAATGAAGGTCAAATTCCAAGGTCAAGGTTAAAAGGTCAAAATTGTTGGTACCCCAAAAAAGTTCTTCTTACAAGGATAACTCATATTAAGTATAAAAGCCCTAGCACCAACCATTCAAAATTTATGGCCAAGGATGTTTTTCAAAAGTAGTTCAATCTCCAAGGTCAAGGTCAAAAATATTTGTACCAAAGGGAATATCTTACAATTATACCATAATTAATACTCATGTGAAGTATGAAAGCCCCAGCACCACTGTTCAAAAGTTATGACCAAGGTTAAAATTTGGTAAAATTTTTGCAAAGT